TCGGGTTTTACAGTTTACTCCATAATTTCAGAAATGTCTAACAGATAGCTCTACTTATAAAGTAGACTTAGTAGTGGGATGAGAGAATTAATTCATGTTATAATAGATACTGATGATATACCTTGTGAATATGTTAACTCTTCTAAACAGAAAATAATTGATATTCCATATGAACAGGCAATATAGGGTACAAATGCCCTTGATCTTTTTTTCTTTTTCTGTGTTTTGATTACCACAGGTCACTTATTAAGTACTTATTATGCAACTGATGCAAGGTATTTTAATATTGAGAGACCATATGGTTAATTTATTTTCTACTGCTATGTCTGATTTGACAACTATAGATGAGGAGTTTAAAGTGATACTGCCAAATCAATTAACATCCATAAGATTAATGCTTGATAATAATAACGTTGACAGTAATTTGTTAAGCATGGATTTAGTTATTAAACAACATGCTTTAAATGGTAGTCTGAAATACTGTTAGAGGTATCAATAGCTATGGTATATAATGTAATTGAGTTAAAACATAGGAAAAAAAGTAATCCAAAGGATTCTTTATGGGAATGGTTTATTTACTATGAAATAATTATCACAGCAGTATATGTAACTAGTTGGGGAGTAATAAATATTGATAGATTCTGCAGGATACGCTGATTTGGTTAAAATTCACCTTTCTTTTAATTATTATTATTATTAGCTGCAATTATATAGTTCCAACTTATTCCACAGTGCTTTACAATATTATAACTGGTGAACTTCGACAATAAATGAAATAATTACAAAATGTTACAGGGTCAATATGAGGACCCTGATCAAACAAGCTTACAAATTAGATGAGATGAATAGAGTTGAGCGGACACCTGGATGTTCGGATTCGGCGTGTTCGGCTGAACTTCGGAAAAAAGTCCGGGTTCGGGATCGAACTTGACCCCGAACCCGAACCCCATTGAAGTCAATGGGGACCGGAACCTTTGGGCACAAAAATGGCTCTAAAAAAGTCCTGGAAAGGGCTGAAAAGGGAAGTAAAATGGGGGTAAGAGTAGAACAAGTGCACTGCAAACAAATGTGGATATGGAAATCACTTAAAATACATACAAATTAAAAATACAGCTGAGCCATATAATAGCACTAGATGGAATCTTTGATTTTAGCTTTGGAAGAACATAAATCAAAATCTAAAGCATGGGTCGCCAACCTGGTCCCTACCACCCACTAGTGGGCGTTTCAGGATTCCAGTTGGGCGGTAGGGATTTCCTCATTTTGAGAGACTGTGCGGTACCAGGTACCGCCGTCACCATTTGCGAACCCAGCCCGCGCAGTAAACCGCCGGGACCACCTTCCAAGGGGTCCATCGGGTGGCCCTGATGTGGATTGTAAGGGGCCCCGGTCAGCGCTGGGCGCTTTAACAGCGTGACCGGGCCCCTGTGATTACATCACAGAGCTGGGAGGAAGTGACTGCACATCACTCCTCCCAGCTAACACACAGAATGCGCGGGAGGAAGCAGAGGGAGTCAAAGTGGGAACTCTGACTCCCATCCACCTGAGCCACCACTGGACCCCAGGGAATGTCCCCCTCCTGCACCTAAAAGGTAGGAAACAGGAGGGTGACTAAAATATTTTGTGTGTGTTTGTTTGTGTGTATGTGTCTTTGTATGTATGTCTTGTGTGTGTGTCTTTGTATGTGTTGTGTGTGTCTGTGTGTATGTGTGTGTATGTGTCTTTGTATGTATGTATGTCTTGTGTGTGTGTCTGTCTGTATATATGTGTGTATGTATGTATGTGTGTCTTGTCTTTGTATGTATGTGTTGTGTGTATGTCTTTGTATGTATGTGTGTCTTATGTATGTGTCTTTGTATGTGTGTCTTGTGTCTGTCTGTATGTGTGTATGTGTCTTTGTATGTCTTATGTGTGTGTCTTTGTATGTGTGTGTCTGTATGTATGTGTGCCTGTCTGTTTGTATGTATGTATGTGTCTTGTGTGTGTGTGTGTGTGTGTCTGTATGTGTGCCTGTCTGTTTGTTTGTATGTATGTATGTATGTATGTGTGCCTGTCTGTGTGTCTGTATGTGTGTCTTTGTATATGTGTCTTGTGTGTGTGTCTGTATGTGTGTGTCGTGTGTGTGTGTGTCTGTATGTGTGCCTGTCTGTGTGTCTGTATGTATGTGTTCCTGTCTGTTTGTATGTATGTTTCTTTGTATGTGTGTCTTGTGTGTGTGTGTGTGTCTGTATGTATGTATGTATGTGTGCCTGTCTGTTATAGTGGACTATAGTAAGTGGGCTACCTAGCTCAGCTTTCCTACTGGGCATTGCTATAAGGAAGGTTAAAAAATAGAAAAAAGGGGGGAAAAAGGTGGGGAGGGGAATTGAGGAGGGAGAGGAGATGAGCTGACACACAGATGAGAAATCATATTATGCGCAAACAGAGAAGTCATCTGAATATCACCGAAAGAGGAGACCTTTGTTTGTTCCTTATGAAAATCGAACAAGATATCAAATATTTTGTCTCGCAGCATCAACCTCAAGGATCTCATTAATCACTAGTAAAGGTAATTTCAATTTACTTTATTGCTTTCTCATTAAACTTTATAAAGTAAAAAACATTATAAACATGCATTAAGAAGAAATAAAAAGATAAATGTACGTACATTTATTTTTTTTAAAAACACTCTCCTTTCTAAAAAATATTCTGCACTTGCGCGAAAACTGTTGGGCAGTAAGGACATTTTTCCATCAAGAAAGATGCATTAGTGGGCGGTAGGTAGAAAAAGGTTGACTAGCACTGATCAAAAGCATGGCTGTCAGGAGGATCACCAGAATTATCCATTTGAGAGAGTGCAGGGTATTCTCTTTCATTGTTCAAACTGAGCTCAACTCCTAATGCATGGAGAAAAGGACTTCACAAGCCTCTGCTATTGTGTACATTGTTTATACTAAGTGACCCATAGGTTGAGGAGGCGGTGTAGGTGGAAGCAGCGGTGGAGGAGGAGGAGGTAGCCAACACTGTTATTTTTAATTGGGGTAGCCCCAAAAATATTGGGACATATAAAAAAGAAACATTTGTGGCCTGCGGTGCATTTCTTGCAGTCCAATAACGCCATCAGGTTTTTAAAACTGTCCATCTCCACCTGACGGAATGACAGCATTTCAAAGGCCAGGAATTTTGAAATGCTGGCATTCAGGGCCAGGGATCGTGGGTGGGTAGGGGGGTACTTCCTCTTTCTCTACATAGTTTGGCAGATGGACAGCTGAACGCTTCCATGGGACAGTGTAGAGATGCTTGGGGATGGTGGCGGACATGGTGGCATTGCTGCCACATCCTCTGTTTGCGGGGTGGCAGGTGCCACTGTCACTTCAGAGGTTGAGGAAGAGGCAGAGACAGCAGCAGAAGAGGAAGCAGGAGGAGCCTGAGACCTTTCTTGGTTTTTGAGGTGGTTACTCCACTGCAGCGCGTGCTTTGCATGTAGATGCCTGGTCATGCAGGTTGTGCTCAGGTTTAGAATGTTTATGCCTTGCTTCAGGCTCTGAATGCACAGCATGCAAACCACTAGTGTCTTGTCGTCAGCACATTGTCTGAAGAACTGCCACGCCAGGGAATTCCTTGGAGCTGGCTTTGATGTGCTCGGTCCCTGGGTGCGGTGGGCAGTAGCAGGCGTACTGTCTAGGGGATGGCCACTCCGCTTTTGCACCCTGCTCTAGGAGGAGGAGGTGGATGTGGAGTAGGAGGTTGAGGAGGCGATGACCGTGGCGGTGTAGGTGGAAGCGGCGGTGGAGGCGGAGGAGGTAGCCAACACTGTTTTTTATTTATTTTAATTGGGGTAGCCCCCAAAATATTGGGACATATAAAAAAAGAAACATTTGCGGTGCATTTCTTGCAGTCCAATAATGCCATCACATTTTTAAAACTGTCCGTCTCCACCAAACGGAATGACAGCATTTCAAAGGCCAGGAAATTTGAAATGCTGACATTCAGGGCCAGGGATCGCGGGTGGGTAGGGGATACTTCCTCTTTCTCTCCAGTGTTTGGGAGATGGACAGCTGAACGATTCCATGGGACAATGTGGAGATGCTGGACAATTGTGTACCTGGCCTATGCTGGTGCAGGAACCCACCCTCCGAGCCACTTGTAAATGACTGGCCTGATAACCCTGGAAATGACCCCTCTTCCTCCTCCTCTTCCTCCTGTGCCACATCCTCTTCCATCATCGCCCAAAGTGTTTTTTCAAGGAGACATAGAAGCGGGATAGTAAGGCTGAGAACGACGTTATCGGCACTGGCCATGTATCACTTTGCACTTTATTACATTGTTTGCACTTGTGGCACTTTTTACAATTTGGTCTTAAAGACACAGCGCACCTTAAATTTTTAAGTTTATGTATATGAGTGTTTGGGGGAGTTTTACACTTGTTTTTGGTGCAGCTTCATGTTATAATATTTTTGGGTAGTTATATTTATAGACAATTTTTACTAGCGCCTATTTTTTACTTGCCTCTGTGTGTACATGTTGGTGCAGTCCTCGAAACAGCGCAACATGGCACACAGGTCTTGCATGGAGGCCCACTCATTGGTGGTGAAGTGGTGCTGTTCCGCAGAGCGACTGACCCGTGCGTGCTGCAGCTGAAACTCCACTATCGCCTGCTGCTGCTCGCACAGTCTCTCCAGCATGTGCAAGGTGGAGTTCCAGATGCCCCGCACTTTCTGCAGCAGCTCTGATATATCTGGGTATAAACCGTGGCGGTGTAGGTGGAAGCGGCGGTGGTGGAGGATGAGGAGGTAACCAATATTGTTTTATATTTTTTTTTATTGGAGTAGCACCCAAAATATTGGGACATATAAAAAAAGAAAAAAAAGAATAAGTACACTTGAGTATAACAATGGCTGGGTGAGGCCGGTATAAATTTCTATTCTGCACAAGGTACAGACAAGTCTGGTGGGATCCATGCCTGGTTCATTTTAATAAATGTGAGCTTGTCCATGTTGGCCGTGGACAAGCGGCTGCGCTTGTCTGTGATAAACTTGTGCCGATCGCATGTCCCCGTGATGGCGACAACTCATTCGGATGTCTGTCCTATCAACTTTCGATGCTATTTTCCATGCCTACCATGGTGACCACGGGTAACGGGGAATCAGGTTTCGATTCCAGAGAGTGAGCCTGAGAAACGGCTACCATATGCAAGGAAGGCAGCAGGCGCACAAATTACCCACTCCCGACGAGGGGAGGTAGTGACGACAAATAACAATACACTACCCTTTCGAGGCCCTGTAATTGTAATGAGTCTATGCTGAAGCTGCATCAAAGTCCTGGTATGTGGCCACACAAACGCTGGTGCTCAACAAGGGGCGTACGGTTACCCTGCATCAGACCCTGCTAATCCATTACACACTGTGATTCCTAACTTCAACATCAGGCATACTGGGTTCCGGTTATCCAACCGCTGCCCAGACAGTGTCTGGGTCCCAGTGAAACTGTGAAACTGCGAATGGCTTGTTAAATCTGTTATGGTTCCTTTTATCGCTCCATCTGTTACTTGGAAAACTGTGGGAATTCTAAAGATAATACATGCTGACGAGCGCTGTGGGAAGGCCGCTCCGCTTTTGCACCCTGCTCCCTCTTATGCTGTGCTGGTGCCTCTGTGCAACCAGCGCCTCTTCCTCCAAACTGCACATATCACTCGCATCACCTTCATTCCACGTTGTTTTGGTGTTTGGTTTTTAACTTTGTAGTTGTGTCTTTACACAATTTAGAAATGTATATTAATGCTTCTGTATATGAAGCGATTACAATAACACTTATTTTTCACTTTAAAAAAAATCTTTAGACTTTCTTGAGAAGCGGTAACTAGCCAGTGTTGCACACATACACCAGATATGAAGTGCACACCCCAAATGTACTATTTAGCAACCAAAAAATTTGAATTTTGAAAACTGTGCTGTAAGCACAGTATTTGACGGTTCTATTTGACTCTCAGATATGAAGTGCAGGCCCCAAATACACAATTTAGCACCTAAAGAATTTGAATGTTTAAAAATGCGCTGTAACTCAGTATATGACGGTTCTATTTGACTCTCAGATGTGAAGTGCAGGCACCAAATTGACTTTTTAGCACCTAAAGAATTTGAATGTTTAAAACTGTAATGTAAGCACAGTATTTGACGGTTCTGTTTGACTCTCAGACATGAAGTGCAGGCACCAAATTGACTTTTTAGCACCTAAAGAATTTGTATGTTTAAAACTGCAATATAAGCAGGGGAGGAGAGAAATATCTGGGTGTAATCGGCACACAGGTTGTAGAGCAAACAGGATTAATTAATGTTTGTCAAGTGAGGCACTATGAAGAGAAAACAAAGGGGACCAAGAACAGAGCCTTGGAACTCCATTAAATACAGAAAAAAGGGGAGGAGGTGTCATTAGAAAAGGAGACACTGAGTTAGCATTGGGAGAGATAGGAAAAGAACCATGTGAGGACGACAGCACAGAGGCTGAGGCATTGAAGAGGTTGAAGGAGGAGGACATGATCAACAGTGCCAAAAGCAGCATGTCAGAAGAATTAGTATGGAGTAGTGGCCTTTACATTTTTCCACAATTAGATCGTAAGTTACTTTAATCAGAGCTGTCATTGGAAATCACTGAAGTCAGTTTGAAGAGGGTATAGTTGGAATCGAGAAAGCTTGAAAGATGGGTAAAGACCCTCTTCAAGGTTCAAACTTTTAGAAGCTTTTATGAGAAAGGGAGCAGGAATATGGGACTGTAGTGATCAGGGAAAGACAGGTCTAGAGATTACTTTTTAAGATGGGTACAACAGTAGCATGTTTAAGGGGAGCAGGGAACATGCTGGGGTAAAGGGAGCAGTTGATGATCCATCATGCATGCGCAGTCTCTAATATCTGTAAGATTGTTTAATTATAACAGAAGATGTTAAGTGGCCACATACTGTGGTAGAATAATTGAGTAGTGACACACAGTGTACTATTCCATATTTAAAACCTTCAATAGTTACAGTATGGGATACAGCTGACACAACTTTAGAGTAAAGGACAAATATTTCACACATTGAGCTACCATTCATGACTGTTTTTCTGGTACAATTAAAACATATGAACATAAATATAGGTTCTATCCATGTGATTATTGATGATTTAAATAACAGAATTAAAACAGTATTATTAAGCGTTTATTTATATGCTGGAGACACTCATACTTGGATAAAGTATGTAGGTGAATCTTTAGAAGGAATCTGGCCTTTCTATTCGATATTTTATATCAACATTAGGAGGAATCTTTGAGAATATACATTGAGGGAAAAAAGTATTTGATCCCCTGCTGATTTTGATTGTTTGTTCACAGTGTGTGACTGTCTGCCTCTGTGTGTGTGGATGTATTTGTGTGTGTCCATCTGCTAGTGAGTGAGTGTGCTTCTGTGTTTGTGTGTGTGTGCATCTGCTAGTGAGGGAGCTTCTGTGTGTGTGTGTGTGCTAGTGAGTTTGTGTTTGTGTGTGTGCCTGCTAGTGACTGAGCTTGTATGTGTGTCAGTGAGCTTGTCTGTAGGGATCATGTGTGTGTGTGTGTGTGTGTGTGTGTTAGTGAGCTTGTCTGTAGGGAGCATGGATGTGTCTGAGTCTGTCTGTGGTGAGCATGTCTGTGGTCTGCAGTGAGCTTGTCTGTAGTAAGCATGTTTGTGATTGTGAGCTTGTCTGTAGTGAGCATGTGTGTGTCAGTGAGCTTGTCTGTAGTAAGCATGTGTGTGTGTCAGTGAGCTTGTCTGTAGTGAATCTGTGTGTTAGTAAGCTCTTCTGTAGGGAGCATGTGTGTGTCAGTGGGTTTGTCTGTAGTGAGCGTGTGTGTGTGACAGTAAGCTTGTCTGTAGTTAGCTTGTGTGTGTATCACAGTTTGTCTGTACTATATTTGTGTGTGTACCAGTAACCTTGTCTGTGTGTGTCATTGAGCCTATTTGTGTGCATCAGTAAGATTGTCTGTGTCTGCATGTGAGTATGCTTTACTGTATAATTTAATTACCTTGAAAGGACTAATATTTTGAATTAGAAAAAGAAATATACCAATATATATATATATAACACACACTACATAGCACAATGACACCAGAGATTTTTTTCAATGGCTGCTTCGTATTCCCAGTCCGGCCCTGACTCTAAGTATGCTTTTCCCATACTCCTTAGCCAGCACTAGCAGTACCTACTAGGGAGTTACCATAGCAACCACAGCACATGCACTGTGACTGCTATGCTTGCGATAGCAGAAGGACAGACTGTGGAAATTCTTTTCTGCTCTCTGTCATCAAATATTATTTGGCATATAGTCTATGCCGATAAAATTATTGACATGTAGAAGAAAGGACAATTGTTTTATAAGTTTGTATCCCATCTATACACATGCTAGCAGAACTGCTAGCAGAGTGTATAGCTAGAATTTAATAGTTTCTCACAATTACTCATTAATCTGAAGTGAGACCACCAATGCATTTAAGAGCCAAGAAGAGAGAACTTTGCAGGGTGTTGCTGCTACTTAATAACAAGACTATTTTAGCGATTCATTATATTGATTTTTATCAGATAGAATTTACTGCTCTTTAAAAATAGTATTAGTTATGAATGGCATGAGAGGTACCCTTTAAAATTGATAGTTCTTATATTTACTAATTTAAAAACATAACGTCCATAAATACCTAAACACAGAGGGTTAATAATTATCTTTCATAACATTTTCCAGTAAAATAAATAAATACATACAAATATATAATTATATATAATTACTTTCATTCAACTACTTCCTTTTAAGATTCAGAGTTTCAACCGGAATTTAGAAAGCAGATTGGATGTAGATTTAATAATCATCCTTTATTAACAGTACAGGGAAAACAAAGAGTATATTTTATCATGGTCCCCACAGACATAGCAATTAACAAATATACAGAATCAATTCCTTTGACCACTACAAGCAGAGAATTACACATTGGTGTTTCTAACAGAGCTGTTTCTGGCAATTTTGGTGCCTCGGGCAACTAGCATAAAAAAATGTGTCCTCAAATCAACTTTGTATTTAAAGATGTGAAAATAATTCAAAATGTAATTAAGAAAAAATATAATCTTATCAGTTAGAAATTTAATTTGGTATTAAGCATGAACAACATTAAAGGCAATGGGTAAAATTATCAAATGTTCAAGCTGTACAAAAATGAAGTCACTGTGAGCACTGATTAATGATTAAGTTGTAATTTAGGAATGCTTAGAGGGAACTTATGTCTCTTTTTATCTAGGGACAATAAATAGACATAAAAAAGGACAATATTCCTATTCCAATGAGTCTAAAATTTTAGAAACAGTATAAACTTGTATTTTAGCATGCGATTTGTTCCTGCATATTTACCAGCATGTTTGCAATGTGATAGTGTTTATTAGTATAGGATAGCATCTCTATGTCACTGTACATATAAAACATAAAAGTTTAAAAAAGAAACAAAAAAAGTATCTACACAACGGCTACACCGGGGAGACGGAAATGCACTGCGCATCGCACATCCCCACCTGGAAACACTGAGCCTGCTGCCCAGCAGAACGATCCGACAAGGAGACGGTCCATCCACTCACATCCCTCCCAGACTGCAACCATTCGATCCAAAAAGTGGGAAACCCATGCCGGCGACACCAAACTCCTTACTATGGTGGGTGTCAGCCCACAGAGTGAAAAAAGGGGCATCATCACCACACCACAGCTGCAATCCGTGGTCATCCAGAGAAAAATCCACAGCACAGCCAGGACGGCTCAAATAACGGACACTCACTCCCTGCTACCCATACAAAACAAAGCAGGTATCGGTTTGTGATGGGACTACCCCGGCACATGAGAACCTGAGACTTCCATGTTGATGGCCCTCCTCACTGAGACTGTTTGAGCAACCAGGGTGATAACATAATCAAAGCGACTTAACTCTATTAAAGCGACATATTCAGACGTGGGTGTGGGCCCTAAATAAAAATTAGGGAGGGACCTAATGTCCTCCCCCCGGCCCCCACCCCTGAGCGGTGGGTGGGGGCCCTAAATTAGAGTAAGGGGGGTACCTAATGTCCTCCCCCCTGGCCCCCACCCCTGAGCGGTGGGTGGGGGCCCTAAATAAGAATAAGGTGGCCTAATGTCCTCCCCCTGGCCCCAACCCCTGAGCGGTGGGTGGAGGGGCCTAAATACCAAAAGGGGGACCTATAGTCCTTCCCCCGGGCCCC